AGGCCAGCTCTCTGCTGTGGCCAGGGAGTGCAGTGGAGGATGGCCCGAGTACTTGGGCCCTGCACCCCGTGGGAGACTAGGATAAGTACCTGGCTCCTGCCATTGGATCAGCGCGGTGCGCCGGCAGCAGTGCGCCAGCCGCAGCGGCCATTGGAGGGTGAACCAACGGCAAAAGGAAGACCTTTCTCTCTGTCTCTCTCACTGTCCACTCTGCCTGTCAAAAATAAATAAATAAAAATTAAAAAAAAAAAAGGAGTGAATGCTCCAACATGGGAAGCAGTCCATACAGCAGACTCACAGAATGACAATCGCTTTAAGTAGCACCCTGACTTCGGAGTCAGTCCTTCAGGCATTCTGGTCTGGCTAAAAAGCCCATGAGAGCATTTCAGGCATGGAAAGCCAAGACACTATGGCAAATAGTATCCTACATGAAGGACCTCTGTGGGTGAGACTCCAGTGGAAGGAAGCAGTTATCAAAGAAGGATGTACTTTTCTCTGAAGGGAGGAGAGAATTTCCACTTTGCTTATGGCCTTGTCTAATTACTGAAAGAGTTTGTAGATTCAAAAGGCTTCCATAGCAGAGACAGCTCATGTCAAGAGCCTTGGGTGATCACTGACATCATATGTAAGAGTGTTACTTGTTAAATTAACAATAGGATTTACTGTGCACTAACTTCTTATGCAGGACCTCTGTCCTCAAAGAGTTGTATTATGAGAATTAATAGTAAAATTTGTTCTCAAAGATTTACTTTGTTTTAGTGTATTAAGTGGAAAATATTCTTATGTCTCATAAATTATAGTTATGTCTAAGTGCTCACAAAAGATGTATCATTCTTAGGTTCTTCTTTAAAGTTAGTCAAGTTACTCAAAAAATAATAATAATAATGCTTAAAAAAAAGTGAAATTAGGGGCCAGCACTGTGGCACAGCGGGTTAATGCCCTTGTCTGAAGCGCTGGCATCCCATATGAGTGCCAGTTCGACACCTGGCTGCCCCACTTCCAATCCAGCTCTCTACTATGGCCTGGGAAAGCAGTAGAAGATGGCCCAAGTCCTTGGGCCCCTGCACCCACATGGGAGACCCAGAAGAAACTCCTGGCTCCTGGCTTTGGATCAGCGCAGCTCCGGCCATTGTGGCCAATTGGGGAGTGAACCATCTGATGGAAGACCTCTCTCTCACTCTCTATCTCTCTCTCTGCCTCTCCTCTCTCTGTGTAACTCTGACATTCAAATAAATAAATAAATCTTTTTAAAATAAGTGAAATTAACTTTGAGGTATAATGACTTTGAACAGCCCTTGTCTCAACTGTTGAGGGACAGTTTTTTTTTTTTCATACAATTTGTTGAGCTCTTTACTTAGTGTAGAGTTAATCTTCTGTGTATAAAGTTACTTGAAAATAATCTTAGTAAAAAATAAGACTGGGAATAAAAGAAGGAGGAGGAAGATGGGTGGGAGTGTGGGTGAGAGTGTGGGTACAGTGGGAAGAATCACTATGTTCCTAAAGTTGTATTTATGAAATGCATGAAGTTTGTATTTCTTAAATAAAAGGTTTCTTTGGTGAGAAGAGAAGAGAAGAGAAGAGAAGAGAAGAGAAGAGAAGAGAAGAGAAGAGAAGAGAAGAGAAGAGAAGAGAAGAGAGAAAAGGAAAGAAGGATGGAAGGAAGGAAGGAAGGAAGGAAGGAAGAAAGAAAGATAGATAGATCTTACCACACAGAACCATTTTTAAAGTCTACCATTCAGTGGCATTATTTACATGGTTGTGCAACAATCACCACCATCCATCACCAGAACTTTTTCATCTTCCCAATCTGATAAGCAATAACTCCTCATTTCCCCCCTGCCCCAGCCCCTGGAAGCCACCTTTCTACTTTTTGTCTCTATAACTCTGACTACTCTATGACTGTGACTATCCAGGTATGTCACGTAAGTAAAATCACACAATATTTGTCAATTCATGACTGGTTTATTTCATTTAGCATAATGGATTCAAGGATGGATTCACAGTTCACCCTTGCTGTAGCATGTGTCAGAATTTCGTCCCTTATTAAGACTTAATAAAAATCCCATTGAATAGGTATACCACATTTTATTTATTTATTCATCTGTGAGTGAACACTTGAATTGCTCACTTCCACCGCTTGACTTATGAATTCTGATGCTATGGACTGTATAGGTTTTGTTTGAGTCACTGCTTCCAACCCTTTCAAAAGATACATATAGGCCGGTGCCATGGCTCAATAGGCTAATCCTCCGCCTGCGGTGCTGGCACCCAGGGTTCTAGTCCAGGTCGGGGCGCCGGTTCTGTCCCGGTTGCTCCTCTTCCAGGCCAGCTCTCTGCTGTGGCCTGGGAGGGCAGTGGAGGACAGCCCAAGTGCTTGGGCCCTGCACCCACATGGGAGACCAGGAGGAGGTGTCTGGCTCCTGGCTTTGGATCAGCACAGTGCACCTGCCGCAATGCGCTGGCCATAGCGGCCACTTGGGGGGTGAACCAACAGAAAAAGGAAGACCTTTCTTTCTCTCTCTCTCTCTCTCTCTCACTGTCTAACTCTGCCTGTCAAAAAAAGAAAAAAGATATATATATATATAAGTGGGTTTTGTTTGAAGCCAATTCATTATCTCAAAAATTGGATATGAGGCCGGCGCTGTAACACAGCAGGTTAAAGCCCTGGCCTGCAGTACCAACATCTGCAGTACCAACCGGCTGTTCTAGTTCCCATCCAGCTCTCAGCTATGGCCTGGGAAGGCAGAAGAAGATGGTCCAAGTCCTTGGGCCCCTGCTCCCACACGAGAGACCCAGAAGCTCCTGGCTCCTGGCTTCAGATCAGCTCAGCTCTGGCTGTTGTGGCCAATTGGGGAGCGAACCAGTGGATGAAAGACCTCTCTCTCTAGCTCTACATCTCTCAGTAACTCTGTCTTTCAAAAAAATAAAATAAAATAAATCTTTAAAAAACAAACAAAAAAAAAACCACCAGGATATGTAAATGGAAATAACTAAGCAGGTATCCTATTTGAACCATAACCAAATAATACATGTAGAGAAGTATCGCCCTATAAAATAATTTTTGATAAATAAAATAGAATAATAGACTATCATTTTGCAACACCAAATGAGTTAGCAGAGTAGGTACTGAATATCAATGGCTGGTAATATCAATAAAAAGCAAAAACTAGACACTGTGTGCTTCCTGCTAAAAGAACAGCAGATCTATTGCCTTGCCAAAGGGATCAAATCTGAGTCTGATCTAGTCTCTGGAGGTATCTGACAACTGCAGAAAAAAACGAGGACAGAAGAGCATAGCAAAATGCATCAGTATACAATCAGTAAAGGCAACACTATGGCCAACTCCTATAGGCCAAAGGGTCTGGAAATTAAGTTGATAAACTGTAAATGAAAGGCATCAAGTTAAAAAAAAATAAGAAAGATAAAACTAGAGTTTAGTACACAAGTGATAGAATTATAAAAATTCTAGAAGTGATTACTATAATAGAAATGGTTACTTTAGGAGATAGGAGGGAGCATAATTTAATTGGAGCACACTGGAGAGGCCTCAGAGACAGCTGGCAAAATTCTATATATTTCTTAACTGAGGTGGCAGTTACAAGGGTTAATAACTATCTTAACCATACCTAAAAGCAAAAACAAAACAGACAAAACCAGTGCATTCACTGTAACAATCAGACAGTGGCTGAAATCCAGAAAAAATTCAACTGAAGTGCTGCGTCAACGCAGCTCTGCCAAAGTCTCACTATTGAGCCTATCTCAAGCCAAAAAAGCAGTTAATACCAGACTGAGTGGTGACTGAGGTCAATATCAAGTGCTTAGAAAAGCAATCAGCACACGCAGACAAAAGGGATAACAAAGGAAAAAAATCTTGAACAGTATAATAAGATGAATTATTAAAAATCTTTATATTATCAAATATACACCACCTGTGCAAAACAGCCTTATTTCCATCTTGCAAATCTATCATACTTACTCCTATCTGAGCACCATTTTTCCATTATAATTTGGTTTCTTAAGAGTTATTTTTCAATTCTACCAAAGACAGTTAACAAAGGCAACAATACACCATAAATGTTCACATCTTCGAAAGCAGGGATACAGATAAAAGATGGCAGGGAAAAAAGCACAAGATTCCTAAAAACAAAAGGCTAGTAGAAACTAATGTATCTAGTAATGAACAAGTCAGGCACCTTCTCTAGGGACAATGGAGTACCAGAAACTGTAACTCCAATCATGCATTCTTTCTTGTTTTTACCTATTTGGATAATAGTGAATGAACAATTAAAAGCAGCATGAAGCTTTGGTCTGTTTTATCCAAAAAGGTGACTCCTAGACACACCAGATAGGCCATACTATACCTCCCCAGAAGTATAGCTAGCGTGAACTGAGAAATGCTCGTAGTGTAAAGCAGGCATGATAACCACTACACTATGGAACCACATAGTGTGTTTAGTGTAAAAGACAGGCTAGCTTTCAAAGACTGTATGAAAAAGAATATAAATAATATCTTATTAATAATTCTTGTTGATTACATGATGATATTTTGGATATAATAGCCTAGACAAAATAGTAACTGTTCCTGTTTCTAACTTTTAAATGTGGCTACTAGAAAGTTTTCAATTATATATGCAGCGCAAATTATATATTTCTACTGGACACCATTGCTACTTATACCGTTATTAAATAGTGTGGACCAGGAAAAACCAAACAGTTTTCTTCTACTGTTGCTGTACCATCAACAGTACAACTCATTTAATTTCCAGCCTTTGTCCCTTACCTGTGAAAAAGAAATTTTAAAAAATGAGTCAAAATAGTTGAGTTCTAATTCTGGTTGTGACACTAACAGTTACTTCTGTAAATCACTTTTCCTCTCTGAGACTTTAGTTGCCTATCCCAATAACTAAATAAGGAAGCTAAGCTATATTTAAATTTCCATGATTCTATCAAAACTCAAATTTTCTCTATCAAAACTGGTTTTCATAAAAATGAATACTCACTCTGAGTCTAACACATCCTCTGCGAGAGCCTCTCATCATCTTGTCCTTGGACTAAAACAAAAACAAAACATTCAGTGAATAAAAGGTTACTTTAATAAATTGTTATTAGAATCATCTGGAGATAAAAATCTAAGGTTTATAGTAATATCCATCCTTTCTGTATACTCCTCTTCCCAAAAAAAATCACTTTTGATAAAGGAATTACCAGGTTTTAAAGTAAAATGGCTTATACAAATTAGACAAATGGTGTATACAAATTAACCATATTACAGAACTTCATGCATATCTTTAATATAACATTTATGACACTAAAATTTTATTTTCTCACACCCCTTAGTTCTAGCCCATTGTGCTCCATATTTATTGATGTTTATTTTATTTGTTAGTTTTATTTTATTTCAGAGAGAAAAAAAGTTAGAGATATCTTCTGTCTGCTGGTTCACTCCCCAAACTCCCGCAAGGCTAAGGCTGGGTCAAGCTAAAGCCAGGCACCTAGAACTCCATCTGGGTATCTATCATACATGGGTAGCAGAGCCCCAAGCACTTAAGCCATCACCTGCTGCCTCCCAAAATGCAGCAGGAAGCCTGATCAAGAGTGGAGTAGCCAAGACTAGAACCAGAGCTCAAACACGCAGTTTTAGCATCCCAAGCGACAACGTAACCTGTTGCACCACTGTCTCATATTGTAGTGAGCCAGGGAATCCCCTAGAAAGCTATAATCACCTGGGGGTTTAAGAATCACTCCCAGATGATTCTGACAAAGGCAAACAGAGGACCATATTTCAAGAAATTTTGCTCTCACTTTACCTCTTTGCAATTCCCCAATTGGGTCAGTTTTGTTTTTTGTTTTTTCTTTTGCCTCTATGACTCCTCATCCAATGGTCTTCAGCGTGGACTATTTTTGACCCAGATTTTTTGCCTTGCTAATGCTCATTTATCATGTGTCTTAGCTTTCTGACTTGGAATCCCATCTCTCCCATCTCTGGGCTTCCAGAATTCCCTGGGTTTTCCCCTGCTGTGACATGTACCCCCCTGTGTTATAATGGTAGGTTTAGTTGGCTAACTAATCCATGAAACTGCACATTCCCTAGGGATTAGGAATTATATGACTTAATGCTTTAGAAAAGTATCTACTACATATTAGGTGCTCAAAAAACATTTCTTGGGGGCTGGCGCTGTGGCGTAGCAGGTAAAGCCACACCTGCAGTTCCGGCATCCCATAGGGGTGCCTGTTCAAGTCCCGACTGTTCCATTTCTGATCCAGCTCTCTGCTATGGCCTGTGAAAGTAGTAGAAGGTGGCCTCTGTGCCCATGTCAGAGACCCGGAGGAAGTGCCTTGCTCCTAGCTTCAGATCAGCTGTTACAGCCATTTGCGGAGTGAACCAGTGAATGGAAGATATTTCTGTCTTTGTCTCTGTCTCTCTCTGCCTCTCTGTAACTCTGCCTTTCAAATAAATAAATAAATATTTAAAAATTTTTTCTTAATAAATGGTACTTGCCCTTTATGCATCCATCACTAGATTGAGCCAAACAAGGGCAATGTTAGGCACAAAAGGCACAGTGATGACATTCACTGAATATTCCTACCTCAGATCATCAGTGTTTAACAAATATTCAATACTAGAACAGCTGGTATTTTTCTGTATTCTACCTAAGTGAGAAGAAACTAAGTAAGCCAAAACCATATAACTGTGTTTTAGAGACAACTGTCCCCAAGGAAAACCACAGATACCCTGTTCATTCAGTCCTAAGTCATGGAATTCAGGTTCAGAAGTGATTATTGGGTTACTGAAGAGAGTATTCTTTTCATTCTACTCACAAGAAGGACTAATGCACTTCTAGAGGGAAAAATTTCCCAATAGCAAGCAAGATTGAAAAGAGTTCTTTACTAATAATATAGTTAGTGAATACATAGTTATAAAAACATTCCTGAAGCATTTAATAGCCCTTTCACCATGCCATATATTTATCATCTGTCCAAAAGTGTAAAGACAACATACAAAAATAATAATTAGGTTTGAAAATACCTAATGAGATGAGAAGGCAAAATTAATTTTAAGAGGATCATCCTTGATCCTCTTACACCATAACACAATTCAAAAAATAATATTAAACAGAAAAAAGGCATGAGAGTCTCCAATGATGATACCACTATTAGTGTTTTGGATGAGCAAACACTGAAAAAGATCACAAAATAATTCAAACAAACATTACTCAGAAATAATCAGGGAATTTCAAAATGTGGAGCATCCCACAAAATAATTAGCTCAGACTCTTATAAAGTGTCAAAAAAATAAAATAAAAATTTAGAAGACCATCATGTGTGGGCCTAGGATTGTGGTACAACAAATTAAGCCATCACTTGGGACACCAGCAACCCATATTAGAGTTCTAGTTCAAGTCTTGGCTACTCTGCTTCAAATCCAGCTTCCTAATGTGCCTGGGAAGGCAGTGGATGACAGCCAAATACTTGGGTTCCTGCCTTTGCCTCAGTTCTTGTGGGCATTTGGAGAGTGACTCATCTGATAAAAGCTCTCTCTTCCTGTCTCTATCGCTCCCTCTCTGTTACTCTGCCTTTCAAGTAAATAACTAGGGGTCAGCACTGTGACTTAGTAGGTTAAACATCTGCCTGAGACACTAGCATCCCATGTGGACACTAGTTGAGTTCTGGCTGTGCCACTTCCAATCCAGCATCCCTGCTGATGGCCTGGGAAAGCACTGGAAGGTGGCCCAAGGTCCCCCACATGGGGGACCCAGAAGAAGCTTCTGACTCCTGGCTTTGGATAGGCCCACTCCAGCTGCTGTGGCCATTTGAGGAGTGGACCAGCAGATGGAAGACCTTTCTCTCTGTCTCTCCCTCTGTCTATAACTCTACCTCTCAGATAAATAAATAAATAAAATTTTAAAAAATAAATAAATATTTTTTGATAAAGGAGGAGGAGGTGGTAAAAGAGAACTGGCATATAAACAGTTGCAACACAGCAAAAGTTAAGTGTCATGTGACTACAGGCATAAAGTGCTGATCCAGGCACTGTGGTTTAATCCACTGGACTCTGCAAGTTACTTCAAAATGCCTTCTAGGGGCCAGCCCCGTGGCACAGTGGGTTAAGCTTTCTGTAACGCTCATGTCCCATATGGGTGCTGATTTGAGGCCTGGCTATCTCACATCCATTCCAACTCCTTGCTAATGCACATGGGAAAGCAGCAGAATATGGCCCAAATTATTGGGCCTCTGCCACCCATATTGGAGACCTGGATGAAGCTCATGGCTCCTGCCTTTGGACTTGCCCAGATCTGGCTATTGCGGTCACTTGGGAAGTGAACTACTGGATAGAAGATCTCTCTCTCTCTCTCTCTCTCTCTCTCTCTCTCTCTCTCTGTGTCTCTCCTTCTGTCTCTCTTCTAAGAGCAGACATAGGGTCTAGAGGTTAAGACACTGCTTGATATGCCTGTATTCCATATGTGACTGCCTGGTACTTAAAGTACCAGCTCAGCTCCCAACTCCAGCTTCCTGCTAATGTAGACTCTGAGAGGCAGCAGGAGATAGCTCAAGTAGCTGGGTCCCTGTCACCCATATAGGAGACTCAGATTAAGTGACTGGCTCCCAGTTTCTGCGTGGCCCATCCCTGGCTGTTGCAGTATTTCAGGAACGAACCAGCAGATGAGAGCTCCATCTGTCTTTGTGTTTCAAATAAATTAAATAATGTAAAAAAATTTTTAGAGGTGGGAAAGGGGAAGGGAGAGGCCTTTGTCAGGAGCCCCAAGTGTCACTGTCAATTAACAAATGTGTGTTTAAAAGGTGGGAGAGGAAGCAATTCATGTAACAGTCAAAAGGCTACCTGGGATGTCCACAGCCCATGTCAGAGTTGCTGGTTTTGAGTACTGGATCCACTTAAAACTCCAGAAGCTTTCTGTTTATGTGCATCCTGGGAGGCAGAAGTGATGTCTAAGTACTTGGGTTCCTGCCACCTATACAGGAAACTCAGAATGAGTTATAGGCTCCTAGCTTTAGCTTGGCCTGGCCCTGGCTGCTGCAGGCATGTAGGAAGTGAACTAGCAAATGGAAAATCTTTTTCTGTCTCTCTTTGCCTTTCAAATAAAAAATAAATAAATAAGTAAAAAGGGGCTGGCATTGTGGCGTAGCAGGTTAAGCCACCACTGAGGGCCCCTGACAAAGGCCTCTCCTTTCCCCTCCCCCACTTTGAAAATATTTTTACATTATTTAATTTATTTGCGACACTGGCATCCCATATGGGCACTAGTTCTGATCTAGTTCCCTGATAATGAGCTTGGGAAAGCAGCAGAAGATGCCCCAAGTCCCTGGGACCCTGTGCCCACGTAGGAGATCCAGATAAAGTTTCTGGTTCCCATATTCAGGTTGGCCCAGCCCTGGCTGTTGTGGCCATTTAGGAAGTGAAACAGCGAATGGAAGATCTCTGTTTCTCTTTCCCTTTCTCTCTCTCTCTCTCTCTCTGTTACACTGCCTTTCAAATAAAATAAATCAACCAGGGGACAGCGCTGTGGCATGGTAGGAGAAGTCTCCGCCTGCGGTGCCGGGATCCCACATGGGCACCGGTTCTAGTCCGGCTGCTCCTCTTTCAAACCAGCTCTCTGCTATGGCCTGGGAAAGCAGTTGAAGATGGCCCAAGTGCTTCCGCATGGGAAACCCAGAATCAGTGCAGTTCCAGCCATTGCGGACCAGCAAATGGAAGACCTTTCTCTACATCTCTCCCTCTCTGTCAGTAACTCTACCTCTCAAATAAATAAAACTAAAAATAAGTCAATGACAACAACAACAACAACAACAAAAAAAACAAAAATAATTTTTAAAAATGCCTTGGATACAGGCCAATAATCACTGAAAGATGCTACTGAATTTTATTTTTATGTTTCTTTTTTTTTTTAAAGATTTATTTATTTATTTGAAAGGCAGAGTTACAGAGAGAGAGAGAGAGAGAGAGAGAGAGAGAGAGAGAGATATCTTCCATCTGCTGGTTCACTCCCCAAATGGCTGCAATGGCAGGGCTAGGCCAGGCCAAAGCCAGAAGGAG